TATGAAGTGTTACTAGCTCACGTGACCCCCGCTGTCGTAACAGTATTATATAGTATTATATTATATCAGTATTATATTTCTATCATTAAAATAATGAGTGATATTAGTACAAATCCAGGAAACTCCCTGAATTTTTAAACTGATTTTGCATATAATTACATTAAGTAATGCTTATTTTTAATTGATTAAGTGATAATATCAACACTTATAATCTGAAACACAAATAAAATTAAGTTCCGAAGCTTTGTTTGTTTTAAAGCGTAAAGCCACAAAATGTGCTGTCTGTGCAGTGCCCACCGAGAATATCGAACCACAATTTTTAGCGTTAGAAGACCTCAAACTTACTGTTGAGCTATCGGTGAATAAATTCCGAAGTGAAATGTTATAAGTTGACGTATGTAGATAAATACATATGTGTATAATATAGGTATCAGAAGGTAAACGTGTGTGTGTGAAGAAGTAATGTTGGATCAAGCTCGTCAGAACTGCAGCTAGGGTAGATTCAGACCATGCCTCACAGGCATGTTTTTGCAAGTAGGGTGACAATCTGGGCCTACTTGGATTCAGTTGAGCTAAGATATGATAGAAATTAGAAAAAGCACAAACAAAATTAATGCGAATACAAGCAATTTAATTAACACCTTATAAAACCTTTTCTCACTATCTATATTTTACCCCCTGGCGGCTCATGATAGGTACAGCACAGATAGCCCGTTGTGTACTTCGTGCTTATTGGCAAATCCAAAAACACACACACTCTCTCTCTTTTTACCTTAAGCTTTGCGCAAAATCCAAAACAACACAAACCTCTAGAATAGGTTTTTAAAATTTCATTCACCAACTTTGGCTACTTTTGATTCTAGAGCCACGTGACGTTTCCAGCAATTTCAAAATTTTCATTACCCGAAATTTTATCCAACAAGAAAAAAGAATGATGCAGGTATTGTTTTTCTTAGTAGTATGCATGGAAAGAGAAACGTTGTATGTGCACACTTTCGCAAAGTTTAACCATCAAAAGTGTAAAACGCCTTCCAAAATAAATCTGTATTTTGTCATTATTCGATGCTAAGAAAATTAACTCCTAGAAATTATAAACACGCTAAACGTAGTAGCGAACGCTGGGTTCGCACGTATTCTGGGAACTTGCAAGTGAAAATAAAGAAAAATGTATAAACGTATGTCAACCACGTTTCATCTGCTCTGTTCATGTAAACAAGTACTTTCGTGCTATACCAGGGATCATCAGACAGACTGTGACACGCCAGGCATAGCAATGGTGGAGATGCTATTTATATTATCAAATTGCATGGACACCAACTGTTATGGTGTGAATTAGATTAAGTTGGGGAAGTGTAATTTTTTATCAATTTTGTTTAATTCGTTTACAAGTTAAAATTAGGATAAAGACAGATAAAACTATTTGTTCTAACACCAATTATTTATTGTTAATTTTTAGTTTTAATTATCTTTAGTTATTAATCAAAAGAACCAACAAGCAAACTATTTGTTTTAACACCCATAATTTATTATTATTTTTTTAGTTTTAATTATCTTCAGTTATTAATCAAAACAACCAGCAAGCAAACTATTTGTTTTAACGCCAATTATTTATTATTAATTTTTAGTTTTAATTATCTTTGGTTATTAATCAAAAGAACCAGCAAGCTGATCTTATTGTCTTTATTATTTATCTCTCGCAAATTTTATGCTACATATTAATCTTGGCGCTAGCAGCATGAAGTACTGGATTCAATCTGCGTCTACTAAGCTGAGGCAGTTACCTAGTTTGTTTCAGTTGTAAATGTATATTTATTTCCGAAAGCATGCTACATCAGCGTTAGTGAGGAAGAACATCCGCTAATAAGCCTCCAGTGGCACAGCGGTATGTCTGGGGACTTACAACGCTAGAAGCCCGTGGTGTGCAGAGCACAGATAGTCGTCCATTGTGAAGCTTTGTGCTTAATTTCAACCACAAAAAACAAAACAATCGATTAATAAAAATTAAAAAAGTATTTGTCCCCCCCCTCGTCTGGTCAGTGCCTTCCCAGAGTGCATTCGCATAGCTCAGCTCAGAAAAAGAGTGCTTGCTGTCCACTGTCGCTACTGCTTCCGGCTTTTTCTCACACGTTGTCATCACTTCCCAATCCCATATAATTTACTTGATAAGGTGCTTAATATTAGAAATATTCTGACCAACATATCACTTTCAATTATGAGTTGCTTTCCTTGTTTATGATTAAAATGTAACTATTTTAGGTTGATGTAACAAAACATTAGCGAAATCCATCTGTTACTTATCTGCTCGTTTG